CCCCAAAACCCCAAAACCCCAAAACCCCAAAACCCCATTTAGATCAATTTTATTGAATGTAAGATATTTTGAGAGTCATTCTTAAACCCTTCCTCTTGAATGATGGATTTTATTGAGAGCTCTTACTTTTGGTACTCGAAAAGGAGGGCTCTTCATCACTATAATATGGTTTAGATGAGTCTAGTTTATCACACAAAGGCCAAAATTAGGGAAACAAGTCCCACAAACTTACCTCGGTTCACTTTCCTGAGCATCTTCTTCAATCCTCTTTTATCTACATTGGCGTATCGTATTTTCACTCCTCGGTGTTCTGAAGTAACCTGAAAAAAGATAAAGTACTTGTTTACAGCTCAGAATAAAGCTTTAGGTAAAATTAAAAAATCTAAGATTCTGGACTGAAATATCAGACTTTCAGGTAAGCTTAACACTCAAGAGACAAAGAAGGCTTACCTCTAGGCTATGTCACTCCTTGCTATGAAGGATTCTTTTTGCTCAGTATTGTCTCTTATTTCTATATCAATCTTGTAAAAATTATAAAACAGTTAGACGCCTGAAAAACTGAACTTCATTTAAGTTTTCCTCTGAGAAGATATTTTCAATTGGCGATGCAAATAACAAATTAGATCTAGTGGCAATAACTAGCTTATGTTATTTATGGGTGATATTAAAGTACCCCTCTTGTATCCTAGGCTAACGGGATTTAAACCTCACCGGGTCCATTCCAATCCGATATTTTTGAGGTAATATAGAGCTCTTGTAAAGCCGACTGGGCGGAATGAAAATGACCCATATTATTTGGATGAGGGTGGCACATACCTTTCATCAACTTTTAGAGCAAGCTTTGCTTACGTGATGCAATAGAAGGAAGAAGGCTTCTCTTGTATGGCTCCTTCATCTGCATTACTTTTCGCCTACAATTTGAAACAAATCACTTACTTCAGCTTCAGAGGTTTAGGAGTGTTCTGTTCTGACTCCTTAGAGTAAAGAAACTCAGCGCCAAGCTTGGGATGGCCATAAGGAATGCTATGGTCAGGAGTCAGACTTTTGAATCTTGTAACCATCTCTTCATATTGTCTTCGGCAAGCTTTTGAGTAACTGTTATTATTAAGGGAATCGAACTTTAAATTATCATTTATCGAAGAAATGCACTATTTCTTAGAGTTTTAGACTTACCAGTGCATTCTTACTGTGACTATCCAGATTTCTGGTCGGTATATCCTGCAAATATGGGGTGTTCTTCGACTGTAGCTGTTTAGAAGAGTTCATCTTTGGGCTAGCTGGGCAATAATCTGTAATTTTATCTTCAACTTTTAGCTGATGAGAAGGGCAACCCTTATCATTTTTGGTATCGTTCATGTCCCTCATGGGTTTTATCCCTACTAATGAGTTATTAGTATCTGAGCCTCATTTCTCTAAAATAGTGAGAGCTACAAGTTTACTTGAGTTCTTGATATTCTCTTCCCTACACACTAGTTGTGGTGAGGAATCCTCCAGCCAGATTTTGATCTAAAAAATAGCATAAAAATTACAGGTTGATCATTTTTGGGAAACTTCCTTGTACTAGCCTTCTTAAGCTTCATTGGAGGATTCAGACTTACCAGTGGTTCGTCGTAGCTGGGTTTAGGTAAATAATTTTCCTGGATACTTAGATTGCTTGATACTTTGATTGTTTCCAACAGCTCGAAGCGCTCTTCAGAGTTGGTACTTTGGTCGTTACTGAAACACCTAGTTGTATCTGGGTCATAGAGATTTTCAGGATCAATCCTTCTACTTCGTTTTATGTATAGTTTAGAATTCATTAACTGTTCACAAGAAGGTCTATCCTCTGGGTCTGTCTGAATCATTGCTGATATAATTCTCGCTAGTCCAGTTGAATAAATATTAGGGATTGGTTCAAATACCCCTTTCTGTACTGTTTCATACAGTTCTTCTATACTTTGGGCTTTAAAGAGGAGATCTAGCGTCACAATTTCGTACATCATAACTCCGAGAGACCAGATATCTGTCTTGGTTCATGAGGCTCATCTTCCCATATTTCTGGGCTTAAGTAGTACGGTGTCCCTATTTGGGTATACCCAAGTCCTTCAAGTGAAACTTTGGAGGCATTCAGATCACCTATTTTGACTTCACCATTTTCGAAGAGGAACAAATTGACTGATTTCATGTCTCGATGAATTATTGATAAATCATGTAAGTGTCTAAGTCCTTTGATAGCTTGTACAAGGATGGTCCAGATCTGCTTTTCAGTGAAATATTGGCCTTTATTTCGATGCTGGGCTAGCAATTGGCTCGCATCTTCTTTGTCAGCATATTCCATGACTGCACAGAGGCAAGAAGTAGCCTCATCGATATAAGCTTGTTTATAAGAGATAATATTAGGGTGTTTGATAGAAGCTAAGAGTCTAACCTCGTTGAGGACTTGTCTCTTCTCTTTCTTAGTTAGACTGTTCATTCAGACTTTATTTTAGAGCATAGATTTGTTGGTCCTTCTTCCTGAGGACTTTGTAAACCTGTGAATAGGCCCCTTTGCCCAGCATTGAGAGGACCTTGAAACTCTTAAATGTTTGCATTTTTCAAAAATATTGCCAATTCTGGGGTTTTGGGGTTTTGGGGTTTTGGGGTTTTGGGG